GGCGACACGATGTGGCATGAGGTTTCAACAACTGCGAGGGTTACAATCCTCTTTGCGATGATCTTCCCATGGATGAACAGTTCTTGGGCACAATCACGGTTCCATAAACAATGAATAGGCGCTACCTTCATCGGCACGGCTCGATACATCTTTTTCCACCAAGAGGAATGCCTTGAAGTAATATGCTTGGAATACTTCTGAACATTTATGCTTGTCGACTTTAAACTTTGTCATAGGCTTTCGGCTGCAAATCAATGACCATAATAATTTCAGTCAGCCCATCGCAAAAATGTGCTTCACAAGCGATGGTATCTTGTGCTGTTGCACTCCCGAGTTTGTTGAGTCCTTTGTTTGTTGAATCAGAGGTATTTTCTTTAATATTTTATTGCATTTTACTATTTATATAGAGAACAACTCTGTTGTTCAGGATTTCTTTGGCAAAACTTTTATTAATAGTTAATAAACAGGCATCAAGTGGTGGCTCTTCACGATGGCAAAAAATACTATGAAATTACAGATGAGATACTACTTCAGTTTGCCAATCAACTAAAAGGGCGACGAGGTTTGATAATGATTGCTGCCATCTTAATAGGAAACCTCAGTAATCCTTACGATCGACAGAAATTACAAGAAACGGAAAAAGTAAGAACCTTCGAAACATCACTTTAACCGATCAGATATGCTAATTAAATTCATATCAAGTTTATTAAATTTTTCAAATTCTTCTTCTAATCCCGTTGCATCGAAGACGAGGCCATGTCTCGTACATACATATTACCTGGACTAAACAACTGCCTGCTTATTTTTCAATCCTTTAGATGCTGTCAGCATTAGTCAGATCTTCCCCTCTTATTGGAGGCCTGCCTGACGCCGCCTGCCATTAGGCTTTAGTTCAACTTCGCAAGGCGGGTATCGTCCATTTGCTGAAAATGCTCCAACCTCTTACACGTCTTGTTTTCACCAGTCTTTCAAATTTTTCAGATATTCTAATCTCTCCTTTGTAACATTATTTGCAATTAGGCCATACTACTTTACTGAAAATCGTACATGATTTCTTTATGCGGGAGGTGATAAAATCTTTAGGTACGTCACAAACGGGAAGGCAACGCATAAAATAGTCTTTAATTAGGGACATCTGACGTTTCGGACCAAACTCGGCCCGTCTTCAGAGTACAATCTCTGTACATTACATGCCATGTAATTTTTTGCACTGATTCGTGAGAAAACTATTTGTCGCCAGCAAGTAGGTCGTGTACCCCGTTATCATTCAATTTTTCATGTTTAATTATTCAACCGGCCATTACCGTGTGATCTGAGGCATCAATGCAGTTTTCTTCGTTCCTATTTCGCAATGAGCTCATTCAGAACAGTCAACATATTACGGTTCGGCACTATTGTAGCAGCAGACTTGGCTCGACGAAATTTCTTATTGTAGCATTCTTGTTGATGACATCTGCTGTAACTGGATAGGGACATAACAACAAACTTTCGCGGGGCCAAGTCATTTATCCCCGGACGTGAACCACCCCATAAGGTTTTGGTCAGATTTCACGTCCACTATGCAATAGTCCTTCTGCATTTCTACTGACTGCCATTACAATACCCTTTCTGTTGTATTTTCTGCACAAGAGAAAGCATAATTTCCATTGGTAACGACGCTTTTTCCTCTCTCGCAGCTATCTGTTCTAATATGATTCATGTACAACCAACGTAGTCTGTCCAGGTCTGTTTAATGTTCATACATCCCACGTAGTGTGGAACATATCACAATCTCCACGTAGTAAAACATGTCTGGCAGATATCATGGAAAAGAAATTTCGCCCAGAAAGTTACCTTACAGAGAGTGAGATTTCCCAGTCGGTCATCAATAAAATTTGGTCCCAATGCTGTAATGAGAGATAAATTTGTTGAGTGGCCCAAAACAGGTTCATCAGAGACTTGTCAGCCGTCCGCTTCATGGTTCACGACAGGCTTTCGCGACAACTATAGTGGTTGGAGAGAGTGCAATTAACCGCACTTCATCCCCAAAAGCATTTCCTTACAGTGGACACTTCCTGATGCTCATGACTCGTACAGAAACTTGGACTTTGAGGACCACAAAGTACATAAAGTAACTTGCATCACTAAACGATTCATAGACCCTTTCGTGTTATTCTGGTTTAAAGATGACCGGGCCTTTATGCGCCCTTTCACGGCCACTATCAAAAACTAACGGGCAGATCATACATCTGG